ATTAACTTGAACTGAATATAATTATGCCTGTTTTTTTCAAAGGCCACAAACTCTCTGCTAACTAATAAGAACACCGTGCTAACGGTTTGCTAAGAACACCGTGCTAATGGCTCATGAACTTGCTTCGATTATATGTTAGCTCGTTGAATAATTAAAAGTTTTCCTTTTTCAACTCTTGAATAAAATTAAGTATTATTTTCACCTCTTGTACAAAAACCATCTTCAACTACTTTTGCTCAGGCAAAGTATTGAGTTTCAGTATCTTCATCTGTTAACACTTTTAACAGTTCATTTGTTCCTACAATTCTAAATGTGTAAATATCGTCTGAATCGTAAGGTTTTTTGAGGTTTCTCGGTCAGCTCTCTTGTTTTAACGCACCTGTTCATTTTGATTAATATGCGCGTTTGTCTGCATTTGCTTCTCACTAATAATTCCGTGCAAACACTTATTTAGTTTTAAATAAATTCCTAATTCAACAAGTGCTTATTGCACACATCATAAATCCCTCCAAAATCTCCTCACCTGTTGTTCGGCTTCGTGGACTTTCGCGCTAATACAAATCGCATGGCTAAGGGCGAAACTCCCTTTATCTCTTGGGAGCAATAAAATCTAAATAAAACACCTGTTTGTATGATCGAGTTCTGGAAAGTACGTACAGAAGTGCCCGGTTTATTGAAATTTTATTAACCGCTAGATGCGGTTGGGGTTTGAAATTTAGGTTTAAAACTAGGTTAAAAAGTGAAATTGTAGTCAAATGCTCTAGAATGGAAGTTTTGAGAATAACTCAAATGTTTGTAGCCATTAATTTAATTTATTCCTATTAATTTCTTCAGTTTTATATCTACTGAGAAATTAATTTTCCTTTATTGGAATTTATGCTTCTCTCTTTGGCTACTCATTTAGTGTAAATTTGGCATTCTCTAAATCAATGTTTTGTTATTGATGTTTTATGTGAGTTTTCCGAATTTTTTGATTCCAAAGTTGTTCAACTGTACTGAAATGTATTTTTAGTATGGTTTTACTATATTCCAATTTCTTATCAACTGCATGTTTGTTGCCACTTATTTTATTGAAAGTTTTAATTTTTTTGACCTTTTTGGATTCAGTGTAAACATTTTTCTAAATATTTCTCAATCTAAAAAAAAGATTTCTGAATCTACTTTTACTCGGCTATCCACATTACCTTTTCCTGAGATTTATCTGGGATAAATTCTCTTTAAAGCCAGTAACTCTTGAAAGGTATTATTAAAATCTGCTTATATTGAACCATTCTTTAACCTTCATTAATCTTCGATTTTCAATAATTCTTAGTGGCTGATTCCTTAAGCTTCCTGTTCTCATCTACTTGCAAATAAGCTGCAGGTTTAAGCCCTTTTAGAAGTGGGAAAGCAATTAAACTGAAATATTTTTGTGTGTTTTTATAATTTTTCATGTTTTTGTACGTTAATAAATGAAAGAGGTTTCCAGCAAATAAGGCAGATTGGAATACAACATGTTGTTCAGGCAGTTCTGCTTTTTAAGTTTTCTCACTTCTTGAATATTTAATATGTAGTTTATATGCCAAGACACTAATTTCTTTTGCTTTCTCAATTAAATAAATCTATATTTCTATCTACCTATGCTTATTAAAATTACAAAGTTGGGTGTACTTTCGCAAATTGCTTAGTTTATCAAAATCTAGCAATGCAAAAATTATTTTCCTCATACTTTTTGCGTCCTTTTGTATAAAGCTAGGCAACTAAAGATTGAATGCACTTTTTAATATTCGAATATATTCGAAAAAGCAACACAGTTTTCTCGAAAATTCTTTATGGCATTTTTCCCAGACAATTACTCTGTATCTGATTCACTCACTTTCTTGCTATCAAATTTTATTCATTTTAATTGAACTTATTTCTGAATTGAACGTTTTTATACTTTCATTTAATTTCCTTTAGCTTCCTCGTCAAAGTTGATATTTGTTTACTTTTGTGGTAGAATTATATAATCAATGATTTTTCATGGTGATTGTAGTTTTCGGATGCCACAAATGTCTGATTTACGAGGAATCAGAATCAATTAATCAAGTAATTAATGCCTGTTCCTTAATTCATCTGTTAGAGCTTTATTGATTCTCGTCTTCTACTTCTCTGATAATTGCTATCTTTTTTCGATTATTTGACAGTAATGAGTTTAAAATTGATGAAAAATGACGATTAAAAACATTGAAATTAATGCATAAGTTTAGTAAAGACTCGCTAGCAGTGTGAATCAACTGGAATATTTAGGGCTTTAGGCTCATCCTACATTATTATTAAGGCTTCACGCGGTTGCATTATTGAAACAAAGAAACAATATAAAAACATCATAACAAGCAGCAGCCAAGAATAGCGGAACTCCTACTCATCATGGCAAATTTATATGTAATATGTTCACGTATTTGTTGTTTTTCTTTCATTTCCACCCCCCTTATATTGCAGTTCATTAAATATCACTCAATGAACGGAACTTTGATGGAATGTGACAAAACCGAGTTGTGCTCTTATAGAATTCCATCTAATTTGTATCGCGTTTTACTGTCTCTAAACATGTATTAAATAACGCGAAACACTCGAATGTCGTTCGCAAATTGAAACATTTTACTTTTGATGCCCTGAACGTGACTATTCACCAACTCTGCCTCTTATTTCAAATCCCTTGCTCCATTCGCCCCAATATCGTGTTTTGTACCATAAGTATTAAATCTAGACCATTCGTTTTTGCAGCAATTTCAGTGGTATTGACTAAAATATTCGACAGAAATGCAAGTTTTATTCACAACGGCACAATTTTCAGCTGGTTGTCGTTGTTGTTATCAACCCAGTTTCCATTAACAGCATGGAAACCCGAATG